TCTGTGTGTGTGTGCTGCCTTGTCTGCTGTTTGTGTGTGTGTGCTCGTGTGTGTGTGTTGTGTGTGCTGTGTAGCTGTGTGTGTGTCGCTGTGGTGTGTGTTTGTGCTGCTGTGTTCTGCCCGTGCTAACTCGCGCATGCACGCGGCTGTTATCTCGTAGGCAAATCTCGAGTTTTTCGGAATATTTCGAAGCGCTGGTTGAATGTCCCGATGGGCTGGGCTTGTTTTGCTTGTTTATCTGCACTTCGTAAATTAATAGCGACGTTGACTCACCGACTGCTAGGCCGCAAGGGTGCGCTGCGCATCCAGCCTAGCATCTTCGGGTCCGTCCGCCCCGGTCGCCCGCCTCCGTCGGTTTTTCCAGCTCTGAATTTGAACACGGCAATAGCAATAACAATTAGCTATAGCAAAGGTTTGTTCAATCGAAATACTCCGCTACAATATCTCTATTATGTACGCTTGATATTACGCATGCTGCCGCAACAAACAGAAATTGAATTCTATTTATATAATGAAACGATTTAGAATAATTTAATGAAACGAACTGTATTACTTCAATGAAACAAATTGAATTCAATTTAATGAAATAAATACGTAACTGCTTTTCCACCTCTACTTTTCGATACTTCCTCTACTTTCCGATACTTCCATCAGTGTATCCACGAATGCGATCCAAACATAGTGGCTCGGCCACGCCGCCCCCCGTCTTCAAATAATTATGCGAATTCTACTTCCTGTGCTATACAAAAACTATAAGAACGCGACCTAGAACCGCTATAAATGTTTAGCCTTCTCGGACTGCTTACGAGGCGGCGAGTCGTGTTTTTGACATGCCATAAGATCATGACGGTGCCCTAGCCACTAGAATGGCCAATTCGCGCTGCAGAGGCTTAGATGTTATGTCAACGTCATTAATTAAATGTTTTCGTTAATTATCTCTGCATTGTTGTGATCCGTGGCGCAACTAGCCTCGCTCTCTCTCCTCCCCCCTCTCTCTCTCTTTCTTATATATATATATATATATATACTACTATATATATATATATATATATTACATCCCTCTCTGTCACCTCTCTCCTTCTCTCTCTCTCTCTCGTCCCTACCTCTCTCTCTCTCTCTCTCTCCTCTTTCTCCTCTTTCGTATCCTCTTTCTCGCGCCCCCCTCTCTCTCTTTCTCTCTACTCTCGTCTCTCCTCTCCTCTCTCCTCCTCTCTCTCTCTCTCTCTCTCTCTCTCTCTCTCTCTACCGCTCGCTCTCTCTCTCGCTCTCATCTCTCTCTCGCCGCTCTCTCTGCTCTCGCGCCCTCTCTCTCTCTCGTCTCTCTCTCTCGCTCTCTCTCTCTCTCTCTCGCGCGCGCTCTCTCTCTCGCTCTCTCTCTCTCTTCCTCTCTCTCTCTCTCTCTCTCTTTCGCGCCGCCTGCTCTATCTATCGTCTCTCTCATCTCTCTTATCTCTCTCGACTCGCGCCCGCTCTCTCTTCTCTCTCTCGCTCTCCACTCTCTGCTCTTCTCTTTCGCCCTCTTTCTCTCTCTCTCCGCTCTTCTAATCGCTCTCTCTCACACACACTCAGCATCACCGCAGCAACCACGCATCGAGGTTTTGCAGCGTAAACATCTACAGCCGCTGATAACACCTCTATATTAACTCTCGCTCATTATTAGCTCTCGCTAACATATAACAGTATAAGCATATAACATATAACATATAACATATAACATATAACATAGTAACATAAACATATAACATATAAAAAAAAAACATTTTATAACATATAACAGTATAAGCACTATAATCATATAACATTACACATATTAAAAAACATATAACATATAACAGCTATCAACAGTTATAACATATAACATATTAACATTATAACATATAACATCTCAGCTTCCTTCGCAAAACGGTTCACCGGAAGCGGCGGAGGAAGCGTCACCCGCGAAGAGCCAGGAGATGAAAATCGTCTAATAGCATAGCGATTGTCGTGGAGGGAATGTAACCAGGCTGGTCTGCTATAGCATCTATATGACAAATACGACATACGCATATACGCTCTCCTATGACACTGTTTATCATAAGGAAATTCTTCCTATGACAAATATTGTCTGTATGTCGTTCGTGCCGCCATCATAGCCGAGTGATTGCTGCGAGAGAACTGTAACAGACGGGGCCAAGAGCGCATGGCAGATGGGCAACCGGCTGCGCCGCCGCGAGCGGGCGGAGAAAAGGCCAAACCCCGCTGCGCGCCTATATTTACTCAGGAAACCACTCACTATATATTGTGCGAAAAGAGCAAGAGAGAGAGAGAGAGAGAGAGACGACGAGGAGCCAGAGGCAGAAAGAGCCAGACGAGAGAGAAACGGAGGGGGATAGACGGAGAGAGGAGGCGCAGAGCGGAATAGTGTGGACAAATGTGAGGGATAATTAATGAAGGGAGAGAAATAAAGGAAAGAAGGCGCGCCACGCAGAAGGTAAGATGCGCGAGATCGCGAAAACGCCGTGCGCGCGTATGGTGTGCTTGTGTATCTGCTGTGTATTTGGTGTGTGTGTGTGTGTGTGTGTGTGCTGCTGGCTGTGTGTGTGCTGTTGTCGTGTGGTGATGCTCAAGTGCGATGGCCGGGCGCGTCTCTTGCCGCTGTGTGTGCTGTGTGTGTGTCTGTGCTGTGTCGCTGCCGTGAGTGCCGTGTGTGTGCTCCTGTCCTGCGTCGCCCGCGCGCCGCTCGTGTGTGGGCCTCGTGCTGTGTGCTGTGTGCTGTGTCGTGTGGTGTGTGTGTGTGCGTGTGCACGCCGCTGCCGGCCCTGTTCGTGCGCGATGTCTCAGCGCAACCGCCAGACCATATCACCAGACCCGAATCTGGTTAAACTGCGGGCAATTTCAGGCGACCAAACCCATCTCTAAGTTGACATCGTGTCGAGCCGCTGCACCCTTGCTGCTGGGGGAACCTCCCCGTGTCTCCCCATGGACCTCTTATCCACTTTCAACAACGACCGCCCGCCCGAGCCCAAAATTATTAAGCGCGTGTGTGGACCAATTGCCTATGTCCATTGTAATAGGGAGGGGGATGACCGTTCCACGGAGAGCACGCGGGGAGGGGACTGGTGGGAGGAGCGGAAACGAGGCAAGGCCGCAAGCACAAGAGCCAGGGAGCAGGGAAGACGCCTTCAAAGAGCCCGGTGCGAGCGGCAGTGCAGGATGGAAAGGGCCAGACAGGGGAAGAAAGCAGCCAGGGAGAAGGAGAGACGCCTTAAAAGAGGGTGACGCAGGCAGCGAGCGAGCCAAAAGGAAAAGAGAGAATAGGCAGCAGGGAGAGGAAGACGCGCATTAAGAAGGTAAAGGACGAAGGCAGGAGCCGGCAAGGAGAAGAACAGAAAGAGCCACGGAGAAGAAAGATGTCGGTCCCTCCAGTGTCACTGCGAGGAGCCAGCACACTCGTTAGGCAAAGCCCAGGAAGTGACGTTCATACTAATTAATATTTATTGGAGTTAACAAGACAGGTTTATGACCACTAATTACACGACATTCTAATTTCTTACGCTACTCAATCATTAATTCATAATTAAAAACGATGACGCGCTTGATTGTAATCAGTGTTCATTGAAATATTTATTACCGCATTTTTGCCACTATACTACTCGCATTTTTGCATTCTAAGATGACAGCAGATAAAAGTTAAGCCGTTTTAATGGGAATCGCATCACTTTTTTCAAACACGTGTTTTTTCTTAAATAAAAAAGTTCTCATTATTAGCCCCCACGTAGCCGCTGCCAAACATGTTTGTTAATAGTCGTGAAGATCTAGTGGATAATGGGCCAAGGATACAGCCATCCCGTGAGTTTAAGAGACATCCAGTGACAGGTGCATCAGGACATGCACTGAATAATATATAAAGTAATCGCGTGCATAGTTAATGTAATACAGGATAAGTAAAGGTATATATATCAAGCCAGCCTCAGATAATAAGCCCTCTGATTATCTATTATCTATTATCTATTATCTATATGCCAGTTCTTAACCATACTTATATACTATATCATATATTAGCTCATATAATATATATATATAATAAACATGTGTATAGAGTACACATTAATACATCATTAGATTCTTTCCTATGCGTACATGTTACATACATGCTATGCACATATGATCATAGTATAGACTGTATATATATATACCTAGAGGCATGATAGAAAAATCGTCGCGTGGGTATTGTAGGAACTGGTGGAAGCAGCGGTTTGAACGTGCACATGATCACTAGAGAATTAACTCATTCATTCATATTTGGCTATGACTTTTGGCATTTGTAATTCATTCAGCTATCCGTTCGCGATTGAACGATTGCCACGGCACTCCTCCCACTGGATATCATAATAGCAAGAATATAATTACATAACTAGAAAGTATATAGTAGAATGGAATAGATTTCGGAAAGAACAGAATGGAATAGAAGGGAATGGAATATAATAGAATAGAATAGAATAGAATAGAATAGAATAGAATAGACGGAATTAAAACAGGATTAAATAGCATAGCATAGAATAGAATAGAATAAAATTAAATAAAAAATAGAATGGAATAGCATAGAATAAAATAGAAATGATTGTACCTCAATGAAATAGAAATTACAGTGCATGAATAGAATATAACTTATGGTACACGAATAGAATAGGTAAACATCTATATCCATGTACAGACAATAGCTTTCTTCCTATACCAGTTTACGCTTGCTTGTATAACACGTGCACGTCATCATAATCATAAGCCTTGCGGCTTTTTCTCCCCCAAGCATTGCCTTTTCGAATTTCCCATTTCTACGCTGTTTGGCTAGCACGACAGCGCATGCATCACGCTAGACAGATTCTGACAATTCCCCGGTCACGGCCCGACCGCTCTGCGTGCATGCGCGCATGAACACGCGCGCGCGCATTTTTTAAAAGTCATTCACGGGTGGAAAACCGTGACAGCAGGAATGCGTGCTATATTTCACTCGCGCGGAATAACTGTATCGTAGATTAATAGCTGGTGATTATCACTGTGTTGGAGTTAATAGACTCGGATGTTGTGGGTAGCCTCTCTGCTTGGCTGCGACGCTGGTGTGATGTGCGCGGGAGTTTGGCGGCTGATGTCAGAAACATCATGTATGAGTATAAAAATGTAGGAAAAGAGAATAAGGTGTTATATTTAAAAAATAAAAAATTTTTTTTTTTAATTA